ACTTGGAAACAACCAAGATGTCCTTCAATAGGTGAATGGATAATTAACCTCGTTCATTCAGACAATGGAGAATTATTCAACACTAAAAAAAAAAAAGAAAATGCTACCAACCCATGAAACAACATGGAAGAATCATAAGTGCTCATTACTAAGTGAACGTAGTCAGTCTGAAAAGGCTACAAGCTGTATAATGCTAACTGTATGACAAAAAGGCAAACTATAGAGACAGTAAAATGATCAGGGGTTGTCAGAGAGTGGAGATGGGAGTAAGGGATGAATAGGTGGAGCACAGAGGATTTTTAGCACAATGGAAATATTCTGTATGATATATGATAATGGAAATGTCATACATTTGTCTAAACTCATAGAATGCACACCAGGAGTGAATCCTAATGTAACTATGGACTATGGGTGACTATGATGTGTCAGTCTAGATCCATCAGTTGTAGCAAATGTATCATCTGGTGAGGGATGTTGGCAGTGGGGAAGCCATGGAGTGTGAGGACAGGGGGAATATGAGAAACCTCTGCAATTGCCGCCCCCAAAAGTAAAAAAGTCAATGAAATACTGATAAGATATTGATGAGGATTTTATCCAAATGGTGAAATGTTATAACAGAAAAAATGGAGGGTTTTTTTTTTAAGTTATAGACTAAGATTCCATAGTACTAGTATGCAGGTCAGGAAGCAACAGTTAGAATTGAACATGGAACAACAGACTGGTTCCAAATAGGAAAAGGAGTACATCAAGGCTGTATATTGTCACCCTGCTTATTTAACTTANAAGACCCTGATGCTGGGAAAGATTGAGGGCAGGAGGAGAAGGGGATGACAGAGGATGAGATGGTTGGATGACATCACCGACTCAATGGACATGGGTTTGGGTGGACTCCAGGAGCTGGTGATGGACAGGGAGGCCTGGCGTGCTGCGGTTCATGGGGTGCAAAGAGTTGGACATGACTAAGTGACTGAACAGAACTGAACCATCTGGGAGCCCCAGGCTCACACTAGATCCAGGAGCCAATAGCATCAGGGCATTTTCCCCTTCAAACCCCCACACACTACTGACCTGAGCCCCCGGGAAACTCTCCTAAACTGTCACTCTAAACCGAGTGATTTAGACTTAAGACTTGGTGACTGGCCAGGGGAAAGAAGCCTTGAAAGGGAAATAATACATTTACAGTGGAGAAAGCTGAGATCAAGTTAACATTACCAATGTTGAAACATATCTACATCATGTGTCTCCTCATATGATGTTAGCTGGACTGCTTACAGAGTGCCCAGATTAAACACTGATTCTGGATGAGCCTGGAGTGAAAGCAGGGCTTCTCTACTCACTAGGACTGTATTTCCAGGAAAGAAATACTCATCACCTGGCTTGAGTAGTGGAGGTGGAGTTGAGCTGAACAGAAGGGACTGCAGAGACCAGGAGATGAACTCAACAGTATCTGGGTATATAGACCCACCACGATGACCCAGTCCTCAATCCTCTCTCTGCTTCCCTCCTTCAACATTCCACCTGCCCTGAAAAAAGAATCTGGTGTTGTGTGTGTTGGCAAATACTCACAGTCAAATGGCACGTGGAATGTAAAGTTCATTTTCACTCCTTTGAGTCTGCAAGGGTGTTTCTGGATGATCAGTTTGACTCAGTGGATTTGTGGATTCTGCTGATTGCCCCCCGCCCCGCCCGAATTGTGAATGGGCATCATCCAACCTGTTAAGGGCCTGACTAGAAGCAGGGCAGAAGACAGAGAATTCCCTCCTTTTCTTTCTCCCTCACCGCTGGAACTGACCTCCAATCTCCTCTTCTCCTGTCCTTGAAGTGGAATGTACACCACTAACTCCCTGGCTTCTCAGGACTTCGGACTTGAACTAAATTACGCCATTGGCTGCCCTGGTCTCCATGGAGACTGTGGGATTTCTTACATAATCAGTAAGCCACTTCCTCCTTTATATATGTGTATATATATATACGTGTGTGTGTATGTGTGTGTGTGTGTGTACACATATACATACAAGTAGGTAAATGTTCACAAAAATGAAGATGGGAGAGCTTGGACTGGGAAGCTTTTTTATCTCGTTTGAACTCAGCGTCTGCATTTCCCGCCACTACTCTGCATTGCCTTCACGTTCTCAGCCTTCACTCACTTCCCCGGGTGTTATTCTGTCTCTATCCCTTGTGAGGGTCGCCAGCCCTCCATGGGATGCAAGCCTGCGCAGCCGCGGCCATAGTGTCTTTCTGGTGCATGGCGCCATCTCGTGGCCAAACTTGACAACTGTCGGGGTCAATTTGACACTGTACTGTAGTTGGGACACTTACTGAGGTGATTCCCCTGGTGGCTTAAAGGGTAAAGCGTCTGCCTGCAATGCAGGGAAACCCGGGTTTGATCCCTGGAAAAGGAAATGGCAACCCACTCAAGTATTCTTACCTGGAAAACCTATAGACGGAGGAGCCTACATGGATACAGTCCATGGGGTCACAAGGAGTCGGACACGACTGAGTGACGATATGACACTGAGGTAAAAACAGAGCTCTCGATTTCTTTTTTTTTCTCTTCTCTTCTTTTACTTTTCTTTAGACAGTAAGTCACATATACTCAAAGAAATTCGTGTTCCTATCTTAATCATCTCCCGGCAGGAGCAGGAAATGCACGCGCAGATAGAAATGGGAAAGGGGAGTATATCACAGGAGCAAGATGGGTTGCGAGGAGCGTTTTGCTATGAATGCAGTACTGATGCCGCTTTTTCCAGTGCGACTCAAAGGGAGAAGTACAAGTGTGCAACCAAAAAAGAGAGAAAGGAAAGAACAAATTAGAAGAAGAAAAAAGAGATTTCTTTGAAGGGAGGTGGAAATCTGTGAACTCTTCCAGGCTCATAAATTTTATTATACCATAAATACCTCCCTCCTAATTTGGTATGAAGATTATGACGTAAGACATGTAGAGCGCAGAGAGAAGTGCTAAATAAATGTCATCTATTGTTATTTTTGTTCCCAGAAAGAGGAGGCTACTGAGAGCAGGGTGATGAACACTTCTGGTTTTTCGCTCAGATGGTCCAGATTTTAACACTGAATGTCCTGTTTGCTGTGGATCCACCCATCCCCAGGGACATAAATAGTTCCAGGTTTTCAGCTTTTGTTGGGGTTGAGGAGGAAGGAAGAAAGTGGCTGAATGTCTATTTTCCACAAACGATAATCTCCTGTCAGAAGCCCAGCGGTTCCTATTTCTACCTTATCTTCTCACATTGCCACCTGCCTGCAAAAACGAAAGAACAAGTCAGCGCATTGCACGGCAGAGGGCAGCCTGAAGCCGGACGTGCTGTTCTCTGCACCACTCAGCAGCTACCAGCAGAGGGCACACTCCTACCCGGCTCACTTACCCCTGACCCACCTGGAGTTTCTGCCTCCCGGGAAATCTTAGTCCATTCATTGCTCGTCCAAGCTAGGCTGTATTCATCCTTTTTCCTCTGCCTCCTTCCTCTCCCTCCTTCCTGCCTTCCTGTCTTTCATTTCCATGAGTAAAGTTGCAATGAATGTGAGCTCACAATTACAAATCACAAAGCATCTGTTTTAACAAACTACCATGAGTAAGAGAGTCAAATTTTAGAAGTTTTAAGGAAAAACTAAAATCTATCCAACCTGCAAAAACCACAGATATGAGAATAATGAGATACAAATAAGATAAGAGATATAATGAAATACAAATAAAATAAGCCTCTTTAGGGACTTCCTGGATGGCTCAGTGGTAAAGAATCCACCTGCCAGGGCAGGAGACATGGGTTCGATCTCTGATCCAGGAAGATCCCATTGCCTCAGGACAACTAAGTCTGTGCACAACTGCTGAGCCCGTGGTCTAGATCCCGGGAGCCACAACTACTGACCCAGGGCTGCAGCTACTGGGACCTCTCACCCAAGAGTCTGTGCTCTAAAACAAGAACAGCCACCACAATGAGAAGCTCATGCACCGAAACTGGAGAGGAGCCCCCATTCACCCCAAAAAGAGAAAAACCCATGGTGCAACAAAGACTTAGCACAGCCTAAAATAAATAAAAATAAACGACAAACATCTCTAATACTAACAGATAAAACATGGCTTCTGAATTTTGACTAAAGAACAAGAGGTTAGAAAAAAAAGAAATAGGCAGATTTGATGAATAAAATGGAAATTCTAGAACTTTTCTTTAAGAGTTTTACATAGCCAAAGATAAATTTTTAAAAATCAGAACATATGTCTGAAAAAAAAATTCCCAGAATGCAGCACAGAGCAATAAAGAGATAAAAAATATTAAAGGGAGTTTGAGATATAGGACAAAGTAAAAAAACACATATTATCAGAGTCACAGAAGGAGATAAAGAAAGGATAAGGGCAGAGGTGATTCCTAGAGAGAAAGGACTAACGGTTATCAAGAACTGATGAAAGAGCATCAGTTTCAGGAAGATCAGTAAATCCTAAAGAAGATTCATAAAAAAGAAAAATCCACACTTAGAAGATTAGTGAAACTGCCAAAACCAAAGAAACAATCTTAAAACCAGCCAAACACATTAATCGACACAGAAATGACAAATCAGGCTCTCAATTTCTCAAAACCTACAGAAGCCAACTAAAAATGAGTTGTATCTTCAAAGTACTGATTCAAAACAATGGTATAACTCAGCAAAATTCATCTAATGAAATACTATTCTGCTCTCATAATTTATGAACTATAGCTACACTCTGGAACACAGATAAATTTCACAAATACAATGTGTGGAAAAACATAGGTTACAGAAGAAACCTACACAATGATTCCATTTGTGTAAGACTCAGAAAGACACAAAACTAAAGCAATGGGTCAAGTAAGCCTTCACTGTTACTGTATAATTTGTACTTTGTAATATCTGGTCATTCCATGGTTCGTTAAGCTTCAGACTAACAGAAAATTAAGCGTTAACTACGGAGCCAAGGGGAAAAAAAAAATCTGCGAACTCAAAACCTTTAGAATCGGTCTACAGAGTTTTAGTAAATACCCGTGTAGATAGATCGTCTTTGGCTACTTCTAAAATGCCATCAGTAAATCAAACTTTATCCTAAATTCCGGTCCTTCCTCAGGCCATCCGAGCATGAAGTGCTGTGACCTACCCGCATTAACTCGCTGCAACGCTGGTCCACGCGGGTCGTGCCCGCTGCATGCCTAGACCACGGCTGCCATCCGTCTGGACAGTGTCCCCGGAGACGCCTGAGCGAGATGTCCAGGGCTCAGATCTCGGCTCTGGTGTTCGGCGTCGGGGGCTTTGGCGCTCTCGTCGCGGCCACCGCGTCCAATGAGTGGAAAGTAACCACCCGAGCATCCTCCGTGATAACGGCCACTTGGGTTTACCAGGGGCTCTGGATGAACTGCGCAGGCAACGCGCTGGGTTCTTTCCACTGCCGACCGCACTTTACTATCTTCAAAGTAGAAGGTAAATATAATAGCTTTGTTTGGGGTGGAAGCAAAATGTCGCTTTTCCCTTCAAGGCGCTCAAGTGTCTGTGTACAACCTGCTGTTAGCTGGGTGCTTAATCCAAGTGCCAAGATTTGCCTAAGACGGATGATGTGTGTGACTGTTGACTGGAAGAATTAAATCATGCCTTTTATATGGCAAAGGAAAATTAAGAATAACTTTATGGATATGGTGAAAGTAGCTCAGTCGTGTCCCATTTTTTTGTGACCCCCATGGACCATACAGCCCATGGATTCTCCAGGCCAGAATACTGGAGTGGGTAACTGTTCTTTTCTCCAGGGGATCTTCCCAACCCAGGGATCAAACTCAGGCCTCCTGCCTTGAAGGCGGATTCTCTACTGTCTGAGCCACCAGGAAATCCAAACTGTTTTGTTAGAAATACCTAATGTGAATAATAGATGCCAAGGGAAAGGGCAAAGTGACTGACTTGTTTTAAAACTTGTTTCAATTTGCCTGTGTCATGGAGGACTCCATATATACACATATAGGACACACACACCACCAGAAACCATATGTTATACTGTTTTGCTTTTTTGACTTCACCATCTGGCATGTGGAGATCTTAGTTCCCCAACCAGGGATCCAACTTTTGCCCCCTGGAATAGAAGCAGAGTCTTAACCACTGGACCACCAGGGAAGTCCTGATCCTATGTTATCCTAAATCCCTGTATTTCCTGAGGCCATTCTAACATGAAATCCACACACACATGTGTATATATTCATATGTGTGTGTGTGTGTGTGTGTGTATATATTCACAGTGATATGAACATATGAGAAGACATACAGTATTGAGAGAGTAAGAGTTTTTAGAGGGGTTTCCATATTTTTAAAGAACTATGTTTAGTGATAAAATAGCAGGACAAGAAATTTTTGAAACTAGCTAAGGGAAATAAAATGCCCATGAAGTTTTTTTGTCAGTAGGATTTATCAAAAATATGTACGTAGACAAACTTTCAACTTTATGAGTATTAGAAACTATTGCAAGGGGTTCCTTGCAACATATTAAAAGTATATGTATCCTAAAGAGGGAAAAAATTTAAAGATTTTCCGGTATAATCTACAAGAATATCAAATCATTATGTAGTACACCTGAAATTAATATGATATTTAAATCAACTATACTTCAAAGAAAGATATTTTCATACCTTGGAATACCTCCAGGGCAACAATTATTGGCTACTTCCTTGTGTTATGGAATTACTATCTGCATCTGTTTTCTGCCTATTAGGTATGTTTACAAATCAGTCACAAGTTGTGGGTTTATTATACTAAAAATTGCCCCCAGTAATTTATAATACATAGAGTTTTCACAATCAAATGGCAAAACTGAACCTTGACCCCAATAGAGAAAATGAAATAAAATTTTAACCAGGAAGTTACTAAAGCATAATATTTTAAGGGGTTTTCATGTCAAGTATTCATGTCATTAGTTCACAATGTGTGCCAAGGGATAAAGAGAGGGTATTTAGTTAAATCCAGGAGATTCTAATGACAATCAAGGGAGCAGTTCAAGCTTGGACACAGGCCTCCAAACAACATGGACTTTCCTAAGCCCTCATTAGAGGAATCAATGCTCATCTCTCTTCAGTCTCTACTTCTAAACTTATCTTGGGATATTTCAAAATTGTTCCTTCTACTGTGGAAGGTTTCCCCAGGTGCAGGGAAAACTGTTAAAGGAGAGTGGTGTGGGGGACATGGTTGTCATTCCACAGACCCTTTGGCCCACTTCCACCTCGGGCAGCAAGTAGAAGATATCTCATGTGGGTAAGTGTATTTCTTTGTTCTTTCTGGGTTTGTTCTTTATGTATATACATATATATGTGTGTGTGATCTGCTGCATTGTGCATTAGTCACTCCAGCCATGTCCGACACTTTGCAACCCTATGGACCGTAGCCCACCAGGCTCCTCTGTCCATGAGGATTCTCCAGGCAAGAATACTGGAGTGAGTAGCCATTCCCTTCTCCAGGGGATCTTCCCGACCCAGGAATTGAATCAGGGTCTCCTGCATTGCAGATGGATTCTTTACCAGCTGAGCTGGTATATATTTATGGTCTTCTATCTTTCATTCTCTATTCCTAATGAAACCTAGTTATTGTGAAAAATAGGCAATCAACCTTAGCTCCAAAGTGGGCTAAAGAACCATTGTTACCTTTTATAAAGACTTCAACAGCTACTTACCTAAATGTATCTTAGAAAATGTGGAGTTAGAAATTTTGTTTCCAAATATTGTTGATGGTGATCCAAACAATCTTCTACCCTTAAACTTCATCCTCTTGACTTTGCTTCTCGATAGAAATATAGTGTGTTCTGTTCTATGTCTGCCGTGTATGCTGCGCATGAGAGGTAATTTGGAAAACTTTGTTCACTGACAATGCTTCAATTAGAATTTGTAAAATTCATTTAACACAATCTTTCTACTTTCTTCATCCTGAATCAAAATCTTTATCAAAGATACAGGTTACTATTGAGATGTATGTTCAACATCAGAAACACTGATTCATATTCTCAAGAAAATGGACACACAAACTTAGATTTCCTCATTCACACAATCATTGCTGATGGTGCTGATTACTTTTCTTTTATTCTTATTTGAAAGCATAACAGTGAGGTGTTTGGAAAACTTTCTATGACAATAAGCTCTTAAATGTCACAATAATTTCAAATTGAATAAAAAAAACTCAGAAGCCAAAGAGGAATGAAAATGGTCATATCGTCTTTTAAAATAATAAATTGATTTAAGCCTATACTGTCAATTTGAGCCAAATCTTAGGCCAGATTAAGCCTCCTCTAAGAAAGAAAAAAGAGAAAATCTTTTTAAGCTGCCAGATTTCTTTTCCTTGCTCTTTACATAACTTCATTGTCAAAGTCATACCTTCTTGTTGCTAACCCTCTAAGATGACCCAATATAGCTACAGATTTTTAGGAACGCATTTATATTAATAATGATGACATCCTTAAAAGATTGATGTAAGCCAGCAATATCTTTGGACAAGAGGCATTTCCAGTTGTGAAAAATATAAGCCCCCTTCTACTGTAGTTATAAGGAATCAATTTTAGGAGATTACCATAGTTGTTCAGTCACTAAGTCCAACTCTTTGTGACCCCATGAACTGCAGCACACCAGGCTTCCCTGTCCACCATCTCCTGGAGTTTGCCTGAAGTCATGACAATGACTTTGTGTCAATGACACCATCCAACCATCTTATCCTCTGTCACCCTCTTCTCCTCCTGAACACAATCTTTCCCAGCACTGGGTCTTTTCCAAGGAGTCAGATCCTCACATCGAGTGACCAGAGTATTGGAGCTTCAGCTTCAGATCATAGGAACACTTGTAATTCAGTCCTCACTGTGGCCTGAAAGCTTCTTGACTCAATTTAAAAGCACTTCTTTGTTTTTTTTTTTTTTTTCAAAGCACTTCTTTGTCTTTAGATGCAATATCCACTCTAGGCTGTGTCTCTTGTTTTGTCGTGTTTGGTTTTTCTTACCTGTGAAATGGTGATGAAATGAGAGAACATAGGCAAAGCGCCTTGTTCAGTGCCTGGCACAGAGCCGTGCACCGTAAAAGGTGGCAATCATTCCTGTGAATACAGATCTTGATGCCGGGAGAGCTCACATCTCAGTGGTAGGAAGGTGACTGTTTCTTCTGCTCCATCTTTTTGTTTCCAGCCAGGATGGTAGTAGCTGCTACCTGGGATCCAAAACCAGATAGAAGGAGGCTTCTGATCCCTTGTCTCACACCCTATGTCATATTTATAACAAAGTGAAGGCTATTGTGTTCATTGGATTAAAGTTTATGCTTATCCTACAGGTTAGGATTCACTGCACATCATTAGCCAGGACCACACTTCATGTCGAAGTCAGTTTCTCACCACTGATGTGGACCTGTTCCTTGTGTCAATCACATATTGCATCTGCTGAAGTGGGGAGAAAAGGCCCCCTTCGGGCTTCATGGTGGGAAATAGAGCCCCACCAGACCTAGGATGTGTGTGTATGCTCCTACCGTTACCATGCCGTGCTCAGCTGTGTCCAACTCTTTGCAACCCTATTCACTGTAGGCCACCAGGCTCCTCTGTCCATAGGATTTCCAGGCAGGAATATTGGAATGGGTTGTCATCTCCTTCTCCAAGGGATCTTCCAACCCAGGGACGGAACCTGAGCTTCTTGCATCCCAGGCAGATTCTTTACCTGCTGAGCCGTTGGCAAAGCCTATTTGTATTTTGGGCAGTCAAAAATAGCCAAAGCTTCCACAAATATTCCTGGTTCTAAGCACTGGGAAAAACTTTATGACAGACAGTTTAATTTACTGATTTGATTCAGATTTGCATTTTACAAAGTGATTTCACATACATGATCATATTTATCCAAAAGATGGTACTCTGTAGTTCCCATTTTACAGAGTAACTGAGACTCACAGGAGAGCATATTTATAACTTTGTATGGTTGTCTATAGAATTTGGGGGGAAACGTCTAGGGTTTGTACCAACCTAAAACCTGCATTGAAGTCCCAGCTCTGCCACTAAGTTTTTGTGTGACACGCATGCACAGATAAGCTACTTAAATTCATTGTTTCCCTTTCTCACTGAGAAGATGATGATATTAGTTACATACCAAAATTTGTGAGAAGATCAAGAAAGAGAATCCTCTGTGTGTGTGTGTATGCTCAGTTGTGTCCACCCCTTTGCAGCCCCATAGACTGTAGCCCACCAGACTCTTCTGTCCATGGAATTCTCCAGGCAAGAATACTGGAGTGGGTTGCCATTTCCTTCTCCAGGGGATCTTCTCAACCCAGGGATCAAACCCATGTCTGTTACATCTCCTGCATTGGCATGTGAGTTCTTTACCACTAGCACCATCTGGGAAGCCTTATTGCATGAAATAGGCAAGTATGTATTTTTAAATGTGCCTGGAATTTGTTTTAATCAGGGATGGTAAGACACACAGACAGGAAATGCCATCG